ATATTAAAAAAATGAAATAAGTTTTTAAATGTTTTTCCACAAGATAAATCAATTAAAATTACTTTTTGTAGTAATATAATTAAAATATACTCCCACCGTCCTAAAATATCTTCCACGTTACAATTCCCACCGTCTAACTTTTTTGTCCTTTTTTTTGTTTAGTTTCATTAGTCATTTGGTAAAATATTATAATCACGTCAGTTTTAGTTTCGTAGAATATTTAATGTAGATTTTGAATACTCCCTTCGTTCCAAGTTAATCCTTTTTATTTCTTTTTTGGGTAGTTCCAAATTAATTTACTCTTTCCAATTTTGAAAAGCTTTTGTAGTTTACACTTTTTCTCTCTCTTCTTAGAATTACATTCAATTACATAATTTTACTTTTTATAAACTCCGTGCAAAATCAAAATAATAGGTTCAATTTAGAACGGAGAGAGTATATTAATTTTATTTTTAAATTTTATATCCATAATCAAGCGAGTAATCTTATTTTATTTTTATCTCAAAAATGATCAAAATTTGTTACTAAAAAAATCAAATGGGAAGTCTCTAGCCAGAGGTAGGGGTGTTCAATCGGATCGATCCGATCCGAAAATTCGGATATCTGAAAATTTCGGATCACGTAAAACTCATTCCATATCCGATCCGAAAATATTCGGATATCCAAAATTCGGATATCCGATTTTTTGGATCAGATCACTAGATTATCCGAAAAGTTGAGTTTTTAGCCAAAATTTACAAAAAAAAGGTAAAATAGCAAAATCAACCCAAAATATCAAATTTAATATATATTTACTAAAAGAAAAATTCCACCACTAGGTAATGGCCTAATAAAAAATGATACCAAATCTAATTTGGGAGTAACTTTGGTAATTTTGCCTAAACAAACAAAAAAACACTATTAAAACAAAAGATTCTAAAATGCTAATGTAAAAAGTCCAAAATGGTTGAGTTCCAAAATCAACATAAAATTACATTTAAATATATAGTCATAATATATATCCAATTATCCATAAAATTCCAAAAACATATAGCAAAAAAAAAATTGGATATCTGATTATCTGAAAAATTCCAGAAATTGAATCCATATCCGATCCGATTTTTTTCGGGTATCCAATCCGAAATATCCGAAAGCTAAAATATTGGATCGGATATCCATTTTTTTTTTATCGGATCAGCCCGAATCGTGGACGGATATTTCGGATCGGATATTTTTGAACACCCCTAGCCAGAGGTACTCCGCATTACTTCTATTTTATGAACGAAAGGCGTGGATTGAGCGGCGCGTGGTTGGGAAGACCAACGTGCGTGGCGGCAATTTGCGGCGGGAATGGCGGGAAGCGGAGGCGTGTGGAAGCGACAGATTTTCCTAATTGACGATAAAGTGGTCGGAGATCAAGGCGCTCTGTCTCTAGACTCTCTTTAATTACACCCTTCACTTCAATTGCCAAAATCTTTTAGAATTCTTTTTTGGCTCTCTTTTTTTTTTATGGTCACATACATGATACATGAATCTAGGAATTACGAAAAAAATTTGCTTTAGAAAATCATGGTTTTTTTTGTCTCATTTTTGAAATATTCTTTTCATACATATGGTAATTTTTTTTAAAAAAATTACAAATGTCATTTTTTCTTGAATTAGTTTCAAATTACTACCTCCGTCCCAGAGTATTTGTCCACTTTCATTTTTACACATTATTCAATACACTTCTTTAATCCATTTTATCTTGTAATTTGTATATTAAAAAATTATAAAAATTATATATTAATAATTTATATGTTAAGACAAATCAAACAAGATCACACATGACTATATTTAGGCTTACACATTGAGAGAATTTGATGAGTCAAAGTGTTTAGATGAACAGTTCCAAAAGTCAAAAGTGGACGAATATAGCGGGACGGAGGGAGTATAAAACGATCCAGGAATGGTAATTTTTCCTGAATTTATTTTGTCTCGTTTATACACGCACATATATACACGTGTAAATATTTAGGACCAAGAATTCTTCTAATATGTGAAATCTGGAGCTGGAGTTAATTACTCCCTTCGTCTATTAATTTCTTTCTCACTTTCTTTTTTGGATCATTCAAAAAAAATCCGTGTTTCCTAATTTGGCAAATTTTTTTAGTGAATGTGGCATTATACCATCACCTTTTATCTGTACTATTTATTTTATTACATCAACCAAGTCTTTACACTTTTTAATTTTTCTTAATTTTCAAGCTGACCAAGTCAAACTGAGTTTTTTTTTCTGTAAGGAGGGAGTATATAGGTTTTGATATTTCAAATGAAACTGTTTGGAGAGGTATGAAATGAAGGTTGTTAGTGGCAAGTACGAGGTGATTGTTCACACGGGTGGCCAACGATCGGTTCTTGTATGCAATGAAGTTGGCGGTGATTTCAGGCGACAATGTGTTGCTGGCAGCGACAGGTGGCTGACAATGGCAGGTTGCTGGTAGACACAGCGATCACATAAATCGATTTTGTTTCGGTTCAGATCTATTCGATTCTGGTCTATTTTTTATATGAATAATGGAGTAATTGTTTCTGACCAATTTTGTCAGGTTCATTTCAAGTCTTGGTCTAATTTGATTCTCTTTATTTTAATTGCAATATATACCGTACAACCAGTTGTCTGATATTTCTCGTACATCCGCGTTGAGAGCTCATTTACGAGTAACTGAATATTCACTTTCGAGTAAGTGAGTACTCGTTCTCGAATAACTGGATACGCATTTTTCTAAAATTCAGTTATATTCGAAAATGAGCATTCTGTTACTCGTTTATGAGTATTTAGTTATTCGAAAATGAATTTTCATGCAATGCGAATAGACCTTGGTTCACATATAAAATGACTCATATAGATATTAGTATGATTTATGGGGATGTATGATTCAATCTGACTCAAGTTGAAACGTGACCCAACCTTAATCGTTTAAGACTGTCATTTTCTAGTTTCGTGTTCGATCCTCAAATTAAAATATTCTTATCCTGGTTTAATTCAAGTCTAGGCATAAAATCTTTCGATTTAAGTCATTTAACCCACACTTTGGTCGTATTTTGGAACATTTTTTATCCGGGAACTTTATTTATGATGGAGGGAGTACTATTTCTATGTGCAATACGGAGTATCATTTTTACTAGTTTGGGTCTAATTGGAAAATCACTTTGACTTTTTGAATGTTATTTTTAAGATCGACAAGTCCTTTGGACCAAGCTATGTATACGGTATCGTATCGGGATAGGGAAGGATTTCGAGCACCTTCGAGCTCCAAGAACAAAAGAGGCGAGAAAGAGAGAGATTAAGGTTTAGGAGAAAGTATTTTCTTTATTCATTGATTGATAATACTATGGTGATGGATACATTTATATGCTCCAACTCTAGAGAATCTCAAAAATAAATGGTAACTAAATAAATTAAGAATCCTAATTATAAAAGGTAACTAAATAAACTAGGAAACTAAATAATCAACTAACAAATATATTATTCCCTAACAATAATTAACTAACTATAAATAATTCCTTACCATAATAATAATAATAATAATAATAATAATAATAATAATAATAATAATAATAATAATAATAATAATAATAAGTCCCGTAACACTCCCCCCGCCTCGAAAACCAACTTGTCCTCAAGTTGGAAATCTAGAAAAAACGAGGAATCATGCGTTGTGAACGGACATCCTTCGGGGTCAAAGACCTTTATGAATGGAGCATCAAAAGACTCGGCCAAGCTCAAAGCATTCACAACTCCTAGCAAACAACTCCAGAGAACCAATGAGAAGGAAATCTTGCCAGCACGCGTGACATCCCTAGAATCATAAAGGACAACAACGTCACTTTCTGACATCCCAAATGTTTCCGTGCATCCATAAAAAATAATACCATCGCTTGAATATTTTGCTTGGATAGTGTGGTCTCGTTCATCGTTACCAGAAACATCAACAACATCAACAACGGCAACAAGAACAACATCTATGGGATCTATCATAAGATCATCTTCAGGAACACCAACAGGATCAATAAAAATTTCCTTTTTAAATTCCTGGTCCTGCAAAGTTGTGTTTTGCACAGGTACAGGAAGGGCCGAATCTCCTGGAGTGCCGATGAGTTTCTTAATAAAGCGCATCATGGTTGTTTTGAAAATGTATAACTCTATAGGAATCAGGCTTGGCATAATTGGGAGACCACGAACTAAATCTTGTATTGAGCAAAAGGCCTCTACGGAGAACGCATATACCTTAGAATCAAATTTTGGTTGACCTTCAATTGGATGGAATGCCTGAAGTTTCTTTATAATTTCATCCACGAAATCTTCAACGGCACACACGCCTTCATAAAATTCAATTTGTCCCAGTAGAATGATACGGTCAAGGAGACTACAGCTACGGAACCAACGCACGAGGTCACGAGACGGACGGGGACGCGGGCTAGGCTTGCCCCGGGTTGGCAAAAGGAATTCGAGATGTATTAAACTTTTATTTATTTCATTTATCTTATTGTATCGTAGATTTTTTTAGGTGAGCGAATTATAAGCTCCTTCGAGGGTTTCTTTACGGTTCTTTACCTCATAGCTTTTTCTTGAACCGTCAGGGTAGAAAACGTAGTTTTAGGACTTGGGGTTTCTATTTAAGTAGAGGTGCATCTCTACACTACTTTCAAGAAATAACAAACTCCCTAAACCCTAGCTCTTCTCTCTCTCTCTCTCTCTCTCTCTCTCTCTCTCTCACTAGTTCACGCACGGCACCTCGCCGGCGTACCCCCCTACTCCCTTCTTCCCCCTTCGTGGCTTAATCCTACGAGTCCGGAGACACTCTAAGTCTTCCCGTTCGGTACGACAGTTCGTATCATTGTGTTCTCGTTGATTCTCATGGCTTTAGAGCAGGGGCGGCCTTAGGCCTGTGCAGGCTGTTCAATCGCACAGGGCCCAAAGAAAAACAGGGCCCAAGTTTTTGTTAAAGATTGTAGGATGAGTAAGATATGTAATATGAGTCCCAAAATGAAAAAAAAGAAAAAACAGTTCTTCACACTTTAGCAGCCGCAAACGGAGCTAGGGAAATGAGGGAACCAACCGAAGGGCGGAGACAGAGGAAGAAGAGTTGCGTCATCTTCACTTCGGCCGGCTGCCCGCCTTACCGCGACGCCGTACAACACTTCCGCATTCACTTCAGTCTTCCGGTATGAATATGTGATTTATTATGATTTATTGAATTTAATGATCGAATCCATAGTTTTATTTGTCTTTTACATTTTTATATGTGCACTTCATGTTTTCTTCTTCTACAGTTCTATGAAATTTGATTTTTAATTAGAATAATTAATGAATTGTAGTTTGATAAAAAATTAGTTTTTTTAATTTTTCCTCTTTTAGAAGTTTTTATTGCTAATTGTTTCAAAATCTTCAAATGTGAGAGTTTGTAACAAGTGCAAATGGAGAGCTTGATTGACGATTTTGCATCAAAATGTGCAAGAATGTCTCCTTTTATGTAAACTTGTAGTGATGTTTTCTTCTTCAATGCAACAGATTCAATAATTATTATGAAATTTCTTTAAATTTTATTTTTATCAGATATGATAGTCAATAGAGCTCCTTTTTTTGTTTTCGCACAGGGCCTGTTTCTGCTTCGGGCCGGCCCTCCTTAGAGGAGGGTTCCAACGTGCGTTTTCAGGAATTTCAGGAGCAATTGGATCGCCAACTCGTGTCACAGACCACGGCCATGCAAACCCTAACGCAGAGGTAGAGAAGCTTCAAAGGCGGCGTTGGATTGGTTCAGGTGGCGGCAGCGCAACCGTTCGTTGCTTTCCTGGACGGATTTCGTCACAAAATTCAAACTTCGTTTTGATCCATTAAATTATGTAGACTTCTTGGGTGTGTTGTCAAAGGTTCAACAGACGGGTTCCGTGTTGGAATACCAGGAAGCCTTTGAGAAGGTTTTGGTGCATGTTTCGAACGTCAACGAGGCCCATCTCCAGTCCCTATTCCATGCCGGCTTGAAGCCCCATCTTCAGCACGACGTGATGTTGCATAAACCGGATTCCCTCTCGGCCTCTTTTGCCTTGGCTCGTGAATTTGAATTAAAACATCAAGCCTGGGCCGCCACAGTTTCTCATCGTCCCTCCCTGCCTCGCGACGGTGGAATTCCCATGCCATACGTGCCCCCGTCACCAGGACCACTACTCCCCATGCACGGTCAAAAACTCTCCCCTGGACCGAAGGTCTCCCCTACACCGCCCGTTCGTCGTCTGACTTTTGCGGAGAAAAAAGAACGGTATGCCAAAGGGCTTTTTTATAATTGTGATGAAAAGTGGGTTAAAGGGCACCGTTGCGGCCGTTTCTTGTTGTTGATTGAAGATGACGAAGAATCCGAGGACGTGGTCCATGGCCCGGATGTTGTGTTGGGCTTCCAGTGGTTACGTCTCTTGGGCAAGGTAACGCATGATTATGCGAATTTAACCATGGATTTTGTTTGGCAGGGTCAGTCGGTCACACTCAAAGGGGACGGGCTTTCCCCTCGGCCACTTTCTCTTCATCATTTTTATGCTTTAGATGCCGGCCGCCACATCTCGGAGTGTTATGAACTGGTTGTCACGCCACGAGCAGTAGAACCTGTGGCCACCACGATCACCTTTCCAGACGGGCTGCCTCCTTTGATTCTGATCGTATTGGAGCAGCATTGGGGGGTCTTCGAGCAGCCATCGGGGTTACCACCTCGGCGCCTAAATGACCACAGGATCTTTTTATAGCATGGCACCAGGCCCGTTATTGTGTGTCCCTACCGTTATCCCCAATTTCAAAAAAATGAGATCGAGAGGTTGGTTCGGGAGATGTTGGACCAGGGGTTGATTCAACCGAGCCGTAGCCCCTTTTCTTCTCCGGTGCTCCTTGTTAAGAAGAAGGATGGGACGTATTGTTTCTGCGTGGATTACCGGGCCCTGAACGCAGTTACTTTTCCGGACCACTTCCCGATCCCCACTGCCGACGAACTTTTTGATGAGTTGGGCGCCGCCAGGTACTTTACCAAGCTCGACCTCCGCTCTGGGTATCATCAAATCCGCATGCACGACCGGGACATTTACAAAACTGCGTTCCGGACCCATGAAGGACATTATGAATTTCGGGTTATGTCGTTCGGCTTGACGAACGCTCCGTCAACCTTCCAAGCGTGCATGAATAGCTTGTTTGCAGCCTACCTACGTCGTTTTGTCATCGTGTTCTTTGATGACATCTTGATTTACAGCCCGACCATGCAAGCTCATGGCCGTCACCTCGAAGTGGTCCTCCGTCTGTTGGGATCGCACATGTTCTTCGTCAAGCTCTCCAAGTGTTCGTTTAGTGCTACGTCGATTGAGTATTTGGGCCACATTATCACCGAGGGGCAGCTACATGCGGATCAAGCTAAGATCTCTGCCATGGTCACGTGGCCCGTGCCGGCGACGGTGCGCCAACTTCGTGGGTTTTTGGGACTCACGGGCTACTACCGGCGATTCATTCGTCACTATGCTCACATCACCGCACCACTCACTGACCTATTGAAAAAGGATTCGTTTTCATGGACTCCCGCGGCTACCAACGCATTTGAAGCTTTGAAACAGGCACTTACGACCGCCCCCGTTCTTCGCCTCCCGGATTTCTCTCTCCGTTTTGTGGTTGATACGGATGCTTCAGCTGTGGGAATTGGGGCTGTTTTGCTCCAGGAAGAGCAGCCCGTTGCTTATTTCAGCAAGAAATTAGGTCCCCGTCGGATGGCGGCCTCCACTTATCACAATGAATTGTATGCTATTGTTGCGGCCGTACATAAATGGCGCCAGTATCTCTTGGGACGTGAGTTTTTGAAGGAACTCTTACAACAGGTGGTTCAGACGCCGGACTAACAATTTTACGTCTGGAAACTTTTGGGGTTTCGCTTCCAATTTGAGTACAAACCGGGTCGGACGAACGCCGTGGCTGATGCACTATCACGCCGGGGGGAGGACACACTGGCTGCCGAGTTCTTGGCCCTTACCCAACCCCTGCCAGAGATCATGCAACGCATTCGCTTGGAGAACCATACACAGGACGATCTCTCCCGCATGCATGCACTATATTGCCAGGGGGCGTTGCCTGCGCCGTTCACTGTCGTGGATGGTCTTCTGTTATATAACACACGGCTCTGTATTGGAGCACAATCCCCAATGCGTCACGAACTCTTGAAGGAATACCATGATTCCCATACGGCTGGGCATGCGGGTACGCACCGCACGTTCCTCCGGTTGGCACAGACATTCTATTGGGCCGGAATGCGCACCGACGTGCGTAACTACGTCAAGGCCTGCTCGACCTGTCAACGAACTAAATATTCTACTCAACCCCCGGGGGGTTACTACAGGCCTTACCAATTCCTCACCAAGTTTGGGAGGACATCACCATGGATTTCGTCACCGGCTTGCCTTTGTCCCGGGGATCGTCAGTCATCGTGGTCATAGTGGACCGTCTCACTAAGTACGCCCACTTTGGGGCATTGCCGGGGGATTTTGACGCACATCGGACGACCTTTTTATTCACAGACATGGTCATTAAGCTGCACGGGTTTCCCCGTTCTATTATTTCGGATCGTGACAAGATATTTTTGAGCACTTTTTGGAAGGAATTACATGCCTTGAGTGGTACCACACTGAAGCACAGCAGCGCCTTTCACCCCCAAACGGATGGCCAAACGGAGGTCATCAACCGTACGTTGGAGCAATATTTGCGCGCGTTTGTGCATGAGCGACCCAAACGCTGGACGGTGCTACTTCCATGGGCGGAATATTCCATAAATACCAATGTGCATAGTGGGTTACAGTTGACACCATTCCAGGCTCTGTATGGGCGCCCATCGCCGGACCTTATACCCTACAATCGTGGCTCAAGTAAGGTCCCAGCGGTTGATGACATCCTTGCCGAGAGGGACGGCCTCTTACGCCGCCTCCGTAGTAATTTGCAGGCTGCCCAGACCAGGATGAAATTGCTCGCTGACAGGCACCGCCGAGAGGTAGAATTCGCAGTTGGTGATTGGGTGCTCTTGCGCATACAGCCGTACAAACAGCACTCGGTGGCGCGGCGATCATCCCAGAAATTGGCACTACGTTTTTATGGACCATTCGAGGTTGTGGAGCGTGTTGGACCCGTGGCGTATCGCTTGAAGCTGCCGAAGAGTGCACGCATTCACCCGGTTTTCCATGTTTCGGTGCTGCGGCCTTTCGTCGGGCAAGGGTCTGCCAACGATGTCCTTCCCTTGCCGACAGACCTGGTGGACAGACGGGCACCTTCTCAACCTAAGAGGATACATGCCTCCCGTTGGGTGTTGCGACACGGGGTTCGGGTGGAGCAGTATTTCGTGGAGCGACGGCACCTTGGATGACGCTACCTGGGAGCCGGCGACCGTCATTCGGGAGCATTACCCTCATTTGCACCTTGAGGACAAGGTGGTGTCTGAAGGCGGGGGGAATGATACGGTCAAGGAGACTACAGCTACGGAACCAACGCACGAGGTCACGAGACGGACGGGGACGCGGGCTAGGCGTGCCCCGGGTTGGCAAAAGGAATTCGAGATGTATTAAACTTTTATTTATTTCATTTATCTTATTGTATCGTAGATTTTCTTAGGTGAGCGAATTATAAGCTCCTTCGAGAGTTTCTTTACGGTTCTTTACCTCGTCGCTTTTTCTTGAACCGTCAGGATAGAAAACGTAGTTTTAGAACTTGGGGTTTCTATTTAAGTAGAGGTGCATCTCTACACTACTTTCAAGAAATAACAAACTCCCTAAACCCTAGCTCTTCTCTCTCTCTCTCTCACTGGTTCACGCACGGCACCTCGCCGGCGTACCCCCCTACTCCCTTCTTCCCCCTTCGTGGCTTAATCCTACGAGTCCGGAGACACTCTAAGTCTTCCCGTTTGGTACGACAGTTCGTATCATTGAACTTTCTCGAGTAAACCAAGAACTTTGTCCAACAGAGAATCCATTGCGTGTGCCGTAGATTTTTTTTTGTATTTTTTGGGTAAGTTCAAGAATGAAAGCACCAATTGATACGGTATCGTATCAGGATAGGGAAGGTTGAGCACCTTCGAGCTATAGAATTCGGGAAAGGGAAGAGAAGAGAGAATCGCGCGACACTTTGTTCGGCGGAATAGAAGAAATGAGAGGGAAGATGAAGAGTTTAGGGTTTAGGGAAAATGATTTCTTTATTGATTGAATAATAAACTTATGAATATTGGCTACATATATAGATCGTAGAGCTAAAGAATCCTAGTCATAAAAGGTAACTAAATAAATCAAAATACTAATACCTAATATAATAATATTCCATAACCATAAATAATAAACTACCTATAATAATAATAACCATAAATAATAATTACCTAATGATAATAATAATAATAGTAATAGTAATAGTAATAATACTAAATATACTAAATGTACTCCCGTAACACTTGAGTTCAAGAATGAAAGCACCAATTGATACGGTATCGTATCGGGATAGGGAAGGATTTCGAGCACCTTCAAGCTCCAAGAACAAAAGAGGCGAGAAAGAGAGAGATTAAGGTTTAGGAGAAAGTATTTTCTTTATTCATTGATTGATAATACTATGGTGATAGATACATTTATAGGCTCCAACTCTAGAGAATCTTAATAATAAATGGTAACTAAATAAATTAAGAATCCTAATCATAAAAGGTAACTAAATAAACTAGGAAACTAAATAATCACCTAACAAATATATTATTCCCTAACAATAATTAACTAACTATAAATAATTCCTTACCATAATAATAATAATAATAATAAGTCCCGTTACACTATGGGTAAAATTGGATCTCTGAGACAACAGGGGCTATGAGATTTAATTTTCTTAATTTTTCTCTTCTTTGGTACATAGACAAAAAAAGAATGCGACAAGTAGGGAGAAGCGAGAGAATGGACTATGGATTTTCAGTCGGAAAAAATCATCCTCCGACAAGTTCATCCATGAGTGATGATAGATACACAAACATAGCCCATCAAGAGCACAAAAAATACTCCGTATTTAGCTAAAAATAGTGCAATAAGATATGTTGATTATTCCACCCATATATACCTCATGAAATTAATTTATCACTAATGACTTCTGACTAGATTAAGTTTTTGGTTTGTTCCAATCCGAGTACGATTGGTTTCAGATCTGATCGGGTTTGATTCTAGTCAATTTTGGTTTTGATCGATTTTAAATCTAATCGGTACGATATTAATTAGTTTTTGATCAAATATGAGTTTAAATATATTAGATCAGTTGTAGTTCTTTCGAATCATCTTGGATTTTTGGTTATAGATTAGGTTTTAAGTTTTTGCTTTATTTCAAATTTGGTCTCGTGTTATTCAATTCAAAAATTCGATTCCACGTCTCTTTTGCAATTTCTATTATCTAGCACCAATGGTAATCAGCGATAGGGGGTCATCGATGGTGGGTGAGTGGTAGAGGTTGGTCGTGGCAAGGGGTGACTAGCTAGAACATATATCTAATGTGCTCAATAGAGGGAGTCAAGGAGAACATATATCTAATGTGCTCAATAAACGGACCCTAATTTTTTGAAGCCAACTCCTTAATATTTGAATACTAAAGTTTTATGAAGTATTATAATACCTCATATTAAAGAGCTCAAAAGAATTAATAATGCTATCCATATCAATAAGATACATTTTTTGAGAGTTCACAACCTAGAAACTCCAAGACTAAGCGTGCTAGACTTGAAGCAATCATAGGATATGTGACCCTCCTAAAAAATTTTGGGGCACGTATTTGTGAGGCCAAAGTGTTTTGGAAAAACTTATGTTAGATTGTGTGGTTAGTCTTCAATGTTATGAGTAGTAACTTCTGACACATAGAGCCAAGGTGTAATAAGTACTTCCTTTGTTCTCAAAGAAACTTTGGTTTTTCATATCATATACTCCCTCCGTCCCAATTTAAATTGCCTGTTTTGACTTTTGGGCATATTTAAGGAAAATAAAAAATAGAGTTAATTTTCCAAAATTGTCATTACTTTTTAGAAGGGGTGATGATGAATGAGAAGATAAGGTGAAGAAGAGTGACTTATTTTAGGGGTAGTTTAGGTATTTTATTTTTAAAAGTTTACGAAAACAACTAACAGACAATTTATTTTGGGACGGAGAAAAAAGGCAAATAGGCCATTTAAATTGGGACGGAGGGGTAGTTTAAGAAAAAAATTAAAATCCCTCAAAAATTATTGATTGAGATAAAATTAGAAGAAATGAAAATATTATGGGACATGTATTTTTTGTTGTGATAAATCAATGCCCCATTTGGCTATATTGACTCAACCTATAAGTGAGGAAGGCATAAAAACTCAAATCATTAGGATGATGCTATATGCAACATTTGTTAAAATCAATTTTGGTGCACTAAAATTGGCTAATTCTTAATGCCAGGGTATGCACCCTGGAATGAATGTTTGTGTGTTCTTTAAGTGTGTCATAACAAAAATTGAAAAACAACTCAAAAGCTTATTCAAGTTCACAAAAGCGGTATTTAACCAAATCCATTTTAAGCTTTCTCACCAAGAGTCAATTTTAAGTCATTTTTCCAAGTTCGGTTTAATACACCTCGAGAGGCAACCAAAGACCTCGTTTTTCAAGACACTTAAGCCTTCTTCTAAGGTCGGTCATACATTTCGCGACGGGCCTAAGCCCTCTCCACGACGGACCTGAAGTCCTCACCCGAGATTAGTCATAACCGCCTTGTAAAGTAATTAAGCCCATGCGAGGCAACTAAGCCCTCTCCACAAAGTATGTAAGCCCTCTCCATGAAGCCCAATCATAATCTTCTCACGAGGCAACAAAGTTCTATCTCCGAGAGGCACTTTCTTAAGTTCTCTCCTGAGGTCGAGCATAATTTCCCCGCGAAGCAACTTAGACATCGTCTCTTGTTGCACTAAGTCCTCGCCCGAGGTCAGCAAAAGCCATCTTGCGTGGAAACAAAGCTCTTTCTTCCCATTCACTTTACAAGGTTTGACCGAATCTATTTTAAATTTTAATTTATTGAATCATAAGTATGAAATTTAAATATAAAATCTACATATATAAATAAAAATATATCAAAAGATCTATAAAATGAAAGGTGACATGATTATATTACTTTATTAAATGACTAATAAAAATAAGCCAAAAAAAGTAAATACTCCCTTCATCCAACAATAAATTTCCCATTTTAAACAACGTGCAAAATTCCATCTTTTTTAAAATTTCTTTATTTACAAATTGGTACTCGCATATCATACAAAAGTACATATTTTATTGTTCAAAACTATATCAAAAGTTTACAAAACAAGATGTGAAAAGAATATTTTATCTTATCAAATGATTGATGAAGACATGTAAACAAACATAAGTTATCGAGAGACCGTAATAGTAACTGAAAAGTTCATTGTCTAACAAATGGAGTAATTTTTGACCATATGAATAGTAAACAGAAAGAAAGTTTTAGAATGCAATGAGTACTCATAAAATGCAATCTTTAGGCATATGTGTATCTTGGAAGGACCACTACCCAAATATGCTAGTGTTCATTTCTTGTATTACTCCTTATTAGGTATCTACAAAGACAACCTCTTATAGATGTTACTTAGATTGTTGAGTAAATTCAATAATTGGTCCTTTATAATAGGGGATTTCCATATTTAGTCCTCTATTATCAAATATTACCTTTGTAGTCCTTTCTTTAAAGGTGCCTGTCCACAAATGGTCCTTTTTTTGATTTTCTGCCATGTGAGTATTAATTTAAAGGCTAAAAGTATAATTTGACATCAACATCATGTCTAGTGACGTGTTCTGATATTGGTTAAGCGGATAACACAAAAATAATGACTATGATTGTGGGCTAGGATTCCGACGAAAGACTACATTTGTAGACTATGATTGTAGTAGAAAGCGAATGTAATTCACAAACGACGCAAACGGAACAACTTTTGGAATTGTGTATGATAAAAAAGAGATATTATCATTGTGAAATTACACTTTTAGCCCTCAAATTAACTCCCACGTGATAGAAGATCAACAAAAGAACTATTTGTGGAAAGATACCCATAAAAGAAGGACCACTAGGGTAATATTTGATAATAGAGGACTAAATAGGAAAACCCCCCTGTTATAAAGGACCAATTATAGAATTTACTCTAGATTTTTAATCACTTTAATTGGGAGAAAAAGGCAAAGGCTTTGAAAACTTGGGGTAACTTGTCATTCTATGCAGTATTCATCATCAACCCCTGAAATTAGAAAAAAAAATCACATGCAAAAATTATGAATGGGGCCATATTTTGTTTTATGTGGAGTACTTATATTTTTAAAGCAATGCTAAATTTGAGTTTTCATAATCAATTTATAGATTCCAACCCAAAACCAATTGATTAATTGTCTCAAATTGTAGCAAAGGTGAAATTCAACAGTCCTAAATAGTACACCTAAATATTCATTCTACTACATTACTACATTAAACTTACAACACATGGATCTTAATGAAATTTTGATTAATGCCCAAATACAAGGTTTTACTTAGACACCAAAATGGTAGAGATATATATATATATATATAGAGATAGAGATCAAGAGAGATGAATATATTTGAATGTTCATTCATCCATCCCTCCCTAAGTTACCATCTTATGCAGGCTAGGCTCGTTTATGTCGGTCGGCATGATCCTCGAGTCCGGGTGCGAGTTTGACCAGTGGTCCCCGCGGAAGGATGGGGCGGACAACGGCACGGAGGGATTCCCCGAGGAATTGTGGTGGTTTTCCGCCTCCGGTGCGGACGCCGGAGCGGGAGAAAAGAACGGCGGCTCTTGCCTGTGTTTCTTGGTTTTCTGCTGTTGTTGGTCCTCTTGATTCTCAGCAACAAAACTCCCAACCACAATCTTATTTGATGCATTGCAAATTGGAAAAAACAAGGAAATGGCATTCAGTACAAACAAGTACATTTCATAACTATGTGTGTGTGTGTGTCCTAGCTTGATTCATAGGGAGATTTTGGTAAACAACCATTTCTTTGTACTGTTTCACGAGGAAAAAAGGGAAAAGGGAAATACCTGAACGGGCGCGGCGGCTACTAACATACCAGCGACACCGCCGCCGACAACTCGCCCATCGGGGCTCGCTAAAGATACACTCATCCCACCGGATCGGTTACGGATTCCGCCCGTCTCCGATGGCATAAACGATCCAGTCAACGATAGTATCTCAAAACGACCCTAGAGAAATGTAAGTGGCAAAACATGAATCCCAAGTAAATCCTAACATTAATCCTAAAATTTATGAAATTGGTTTTTTTATGTTTGGTTTTTTCATTAAGAGTTAGCGTTACTTTGAAAGCATTAAAACTAGAGAAATTTACCTAAATAGGACTAAAACATAATGACTTTCCCAATATAGGACCATATGTTTTTATTTCCCAATGTAGGACCTTTGGTCATTATCAAGTAGTCATTATTCAGCTTAATGTCCATCATTACTGGACATTATTCCTTCCACTAGGTCATTATTAAGTCCTATTTAGGGAATAAAAAAGTTTAAGTCCTACATTAGGAAAGTTATTATGTTTTAGTCTTATTTAGTGCAAATTTCACTTAATAAAACTAAAGACAGTTGTTAGATAGACTTATCAAAACACTAAAGTTGTTGCCAAACAGGCATTATATGTAAACAAATTACATATAAACAATATACGAGTATAATACTCCGTAGGTAATAGAAATATTTAACCAAAATGATTTTAAACAAATACCTAAAATTCATTATATTTTGAAGCTATTTTTTTTAGTTTGCCACATTTTCTTTCTTACCATATTTGCCCTCTATTTCCTTTCACAGTTTCATTTCCTAGCATTTTCTATGTTCCAAACATGTCCTTAAGGCCCCACAAGGAAAAAATGTAACGTTTCAGTTACTTGCAAAGATTATGAGAGCAGCTAAAGTCAGCTATGTTTGAGCGACAGTCCAAAAACACGTTTTGAAAAACACTCCCTGTTACGGGACTATTATTATTATTATTATTATTATTATTATTATTGTTATGGTAAGGAATTATTTATAGTTAGTTAACTATTATTAGGGAATAATATATTTGTTAGGTTATTAATTAGTTTCCTAGTATATTTAGTTACCTTTTATAATTAGGATTTTTAATTATTTAGTTACCATTTATTATTGGGATTCTCTAGAGTTGGAGCCTATAAATGTATCCATCACCATAGTATTATCAATCAATGAATAAAGAAAATACTTTCTCCTAAACCCCAATCTTTCTCTCTTTCTCGCCTCTTTTGTTCTTGGAGCTCGAAGGTGCTCGAAATCCTTCCCTATCCCGATACGATTCCGTATCACTCCCTTTGTCTCATTTGATTCTTTACCGTTACTATTCATTTTTCTTTATATATTTTCGTCTATCATTTGATAAAATAATACGGAGTATAGTCATATCACCTCTTATTTTGAGATCTTTTTAAATACGAGTAGTTTTTAAACACAATATATGAGAATAAATTTTATTTTTTTAATTTCATAACAATAACTCCGTAAATCATTGAATGGAAAATAATTTCAGTGAAACATAATAGCTCGGGAGTATTAAATAAATTAAATAGAAAATAATCTCAGTCAAACATTGTATAGTTATTTTAAACTTACAATTTGGGACAGAGGAGTAATAATCAGTACCTCATAGGTAAGCGTTCCACCGGAGGAGTCAGGTTGGCGAAGCGTGACGCTCGAAATAACGCCATTGGCCGAGAGAATACATATCCCCCGAGGCCCTTGTTGAGAGAACGAAATGATCTTCATGGTAACATCCTAAACAAATGCAGCAAAACACTTCAACAAATGTATTTAAAAAAAAAACATATACACATTCAATACTTGTTAAACAAATTAAACCACGCCATTGAATAACTTTTGTTTTTTTACCTCTCCGGCATTGACGGTGATTATGTGGGGCGTAAAGTTAGAGCCGAGAGCACAAGATACCCATTCGCCTACGGATCATATCAAGAGAAAAATTGCATATTAGAAAACGCGAAAACTCATAATCCAATACGAATATGGTACAAGGAAGAAGTAGAAAGATAAAACGCAGGTGGAAGTGTAAAATAAGGAAAGAATGGATATCATTCAAATACATATTAATTCTCCAGGACATGTTGTTATCTGCTACATTATGCTATTTCTCTCTGTGAGTAAGTTGGTCAAAACATTTTTTAACCTATTTTTAACTTATAAGTCATTTGATGTCGTGTTTTTCCACGCTTATAAAATGCTTATATGTCAAAAAAATAAGGTCTTGCGTACTTATTCTTACGTAGGTTTTTTCATTTCTTCATTTTGACCAAATCATTTATAAAACTGTCCCTATGCTTTTATGAATATTCCGAAGCTACCCAATCTCTCATTTAAGTCAATTTACAAAAAATACTTCAATAAGCACCTTATAACTTAAAAACCTAAAAATTACTTATGAATAATAAGTCAATAAGCACGAGCACAAAGAAACACCATAGTGAATCCAAATCTACCATTTTCTCGCCGGATAGAAATGGGCTCTGTTTGGCATTAGTTTTGGCACTCAGCTTTAGCATTTTGAAAATGCTATTCACTAGTTTTCAATATCAACATTTTCAAAATTCATCAGTTGGCCATAAGTACATCAATTGTCCCGTGATGGAGGCTGTTTGTGTATGATGAATCCAATATGAAGCTAGAGTACGCGCTTTTCCTAAAACCAATGATAGAGCTTACAAGTTGTGTCGTATCACAGCCAAGGTGACGAGTTCTATTCATAATGGTTAAATCATTTTAACCCACAAAAGGTCATCCCTTCCATTGTTATGCCCAAACAAAAAAGCCAGGTATGAAAAACTTTAAGATTCTTCTTCCCCTCACCCCACCAGCCTGACCTTTCAGAATCACTCAGTCACCCATCCAAAGTTCATGGTTAAGGCATATCTACTCAGATGGGTCCCAGTCCTTCAAATCTCAATCAGTTCACACACATCTATATATATATATATATATATATGATATATATATATATATATATACTCCAGAATGGTTATCTGGAGTTCAGAATAATAAATGAGACGATTATTTTGGGACGGAAGGTATTCATAGAATCACCAAACACTATAAATCTATCAAACCCATTCTTCAGATGCAATAAAAGGTTTCAGCTTTATGATCATTATTAGGTTATGGGTTTGATGATAAGGGCATGTTTGCCTTTGCTAAGTGTCAATTGGGAAACAATGTTGTAAAAAAGGGCTATAATAAAAGTCAACCAAACGGAGCATAAGAACCAATCAAATACTCACCTGGATGTTCAAAATCGAGTTTGGGCTGGTGGAGTTTGATGATGGGACCCAGCGGCAGGATTTTCCCCCGCTTCTCGCCGGCGGCGGCCGAGAAGTCAATCACGGACGGCGGAACCGCGGTGGAGATCGGTTTAGGGGAAAGGGGCAGGCCGGGTGCCCCGCCATCAGGGCCATACTTCCTTGGCCTTCCCCTCTTTTTCTTCACTGCCATCGCCGGAGCTTCAGTTCCGGCTGCCGTGGACGGCGGATATGAGGAGACGCCCATGTTGGGTACAACTGGTTGTGCTGATCCAGGTAGTACCTGGCCTGGATTCTCGCCGGACGCCGGAGTCATACGGTGGTCCGCCGGAGCATCTGATCCGACCACTGTAACTCCACTCCCAGTCAAACCCTCTCTTTCCTCCATATCTCCAAATTACTGAACAAGAACCCAATTTTTTTGAAATAAAAATTAAATCTTTGCAAATTTCTTCAGCAGCTCTTCAAAACCCAGTACTTATTTTCAATCAAAAATCAATTTTGCAAAATCTTTTTTTAAAAAAAAATAAAAAGAGACTTTAAAACTTGAAATAATTTTTGCTCGTGCTGGAAAAAAAACCCAGTGCAGAAGAACAGTCAAACGGGGAAGAAAGCTAATGGAGAAATTCAAGAAATTTTATCCAGTTACTTGAGAATTTGTCTGAAATTAAAGAGAGAAAAGTTTTCATTTTTAGTTTTTTCTTTAATATTTTTATTGGGTATGGAAATGGTGAGGAAAATGTGAAAATGGCTGAGAAGTAAAATCAAATTGGGATTTCTTAACTTTGATTGTCCGAATCCCCTTAAATTAAATAATAATAATGAAGAAAAAGAAATTATTAAATATTGGATCCGTAATTATTAATTATAGATATAGAAAGCAACGAAATTATGTATTTTGGTTAAGAAAATGGTTGAGGTCCGGTTCTCGTAGATTTTTTTTATTCAAAAAAATCAAAATAATATATAAATAATAAATAAATAAAAAGGTGTAGTTGGAGAAAGTGAAATTAGGTTGGCAAGACATGAAGACTGCCATAACTCTCTTTTTTTAAAAGTAAAGAAAATGAATGATTATAAAGCATAGGCATTAATTATCATAATGATGACAATAATAGTAATTAATAAAATATGAATTACGGAGTATTAAATACAATATATTCAAATCAATAGAGACAAAAGGATATGTATTGAAAATAAGGAGATATAGAAGGAAAATGCATTATTTTGTAGCATTTCAATATCTTTTTTTTCTTAAGGTGTATTTTTTAGAATTTTCTCAAGGTGTATTTTGTTTAATGTATAATTACTCCTTGTTTTTCTACTTGTTGTCTTTGTCCAAGCATCTTATTTGTTGATTTCTTTTTCATGAGAATGCTACATTTCTAAAAATATATATTCCTTCCGTCCCGCTATATTCGTCCACTTTTGACTTTTGGAACTGTTCATCTAAGCACTTTGACTCATCAAATTCTCTCAATGTGTAAGCCTAAATATAGTCATGTGTGATCTTATTTGATTTGTCTTAACATATAGATTATTAATATATACTCCGTAATTTCTATAATTTTTTAATATACAAATTACAACATAAAATGATTAAAAAAGTGCATTGAATGGTGTGTAAAAATGAAAGTGGACAAATACTCTAGGACGGAGAAAATATATATTTATCATTAGAGTGAAAAAATAATACGGAGTAATAGATCAAGTTTAGATCGGATGAACCTTCACTTTTATCAATTCATCTATTTTTCATTTGTCATACGATCCTTCAATGCATGTTTACGCACATTATCCATTAGTTATGTAAAATGGATAAAAAGTTTCCACATATAATGAAAATACTATAGTAATAATTTTTATTACTAATAACTTTTCATTGAATTATCATGTAGAAAAAAGTTAGTATTTCGAAATACAAAAATTCTTTTTTGTTTGAGAATAATGGTATATTTAAGTGTCTGCTACTACTTTTTTATGCAACGTAAACCTATTACGGAGTAATATTCTTTACAGGTAGAGATTAGTATATATTAGTATAAATATTAAAAACTTAAAACAAATAAACGGGAATATGAGTGAATTGGACGATATGTTTAAAAAAATGTCTATTAGTATTCAACCCGATATGTCATTTTATTCGTATATTAAAATTTTTAAACAAATAAATTGGGTTCTTTTATTAAGTATTAACACCCGTGACATGATTTTATAAAAAACAATCTCATTGTTATTTATTATTGTAGTCCAGGACGTCCAGCATAGTTTATTTGTCCAGTTCGATTCAAGTTAAACTAAATGAACTTTATATATCATTAGATAAAAATTACAATGTATATTATACAAAAAACCTTTCATTAGATTTAAATTGGTAACTTTCAAAATTTTATTTTATTATATTAATATGTAATACAAATTGGGAATAATTAATTCTTAAAATTTGTCTTGTTTAACTTAAAAAGTGTATTACATGATTACACTAGGACATGAAAGGAGTTATATTTTGAAGTAAATAATTACTATCAATGGTCCTATTATTTTTTAATTTTACCAAATATTAAACTAATTTTCTTAATATCATAAATAAATTTATTGAAATATTATATGATTATACCAACATGTAAAATAATACTCTCTCTGTCCTAAATTTTTTTTCCATTTCTGTTTACGACTTAATTTTCAATTTGATTTATTTGATTGTATGTGTAAAATTAAAAAACTTATATATTTAAAAACTACATCAAAAGTTCTACAAAACAAGAGAGACAAGACTATAATATTTTATCAAATTACAAATAAAAAAGATAAAGAAAGTGATTAAAGTTTGACTGTGTAAATGGTAACTGGGAAGAACGTTTTAGATCGAGGGGAGAATTTCAATTAAAATTATGATCTAGTCTTCTTAATGTAAAAATAATAATTTAGTCAAACAAGTATTTATTATAAATATGTATGAAACTAACTGTTCTAAGACCATGTTCTTTTGGATTGGAAATTTAGATTTTGATGTTTGAAGAAACTGAAAAATAATTATAACAAGTTGAAAAAATTAGAAAATGTTGGAAGAATTTATGTGTTAAAAAGGTCACTCAATTAGTTGATCATCCAAATAAATATGTAAAAAACTCAAATTTTGGATAAAAAAGAATTCATCATGGTTTGTGTTTGAGAGATATGTTAAAATTTGAATATATAATTTTATTTTAATCATGTATAAATACTATTTTAAGTCGTTGTTGGAAAAACTAGAAAGAGTTGAAAATCTAAAAAAAGTTGGAAGAAACTAAAAGAAGTTAGAAGATGTTGGAAGTTAAGTTTTCAACCCAAAAGAATATGGCCCAAGTGTTCAACTATATTTGTCTTATTTATTATTCATATGGAAAAATTAATTTTATTTTTAAATATATTTTCATCTATCATTTATAAAAAAAAAATATGGCACCTCTTGTTTTGTAGGAATTTTGCTATATTTTTAAAATATGTAATTTTATTTATTTTGAACTCTACACCAACAATTAGATAAATTTAATAAAAAAATTAGTTAAATCTTGTAAATCGAGAAGAGGCAAAAAAAAATATATTAAAAAAAGAAATGAAAGGAGTATGATATAAAAAAACCCGAGTATAGTTTTAAAAATATAAATGAAATATCTAGAAAATATATATTATGTTATATAAGACAATAATTTTACTTATTTGTTATTATTGATGTAAAACTATCATTGAAATATCAATATATTTGCTTGGATAAAAACAAATACCTCCTTCCATTAGTTTTTGTTCAATTTTGACCTTTTCGAGTTAAACATTTCACCTATATTAAAAAAAATTATATAGTATGTTAATTACTAATTAGATAAAAAATTAAATTTTTTTATAAAATAAATATAAAAAAATTAGTTTTATATCAATATCTAATATCAATTTTAATTAAATGATAATAAAAATCAGTACAAAAAGTCAAGATTCAATGAATGCTTAGGGATGGAAGGTATTCAATAAATAATGTCCATAAATTATACTCCGTACTGAGTAAAATAAATAAATAAAACTAGAACTGTTCTAAAACAAAAATAAATACGGAGTATTGACAAGTCGAAGCATTGACATGTCAAACTTTGAGTATTTTTACTCTCTCCGTTCCATATTTTTTTTCTTTTTACGTAAAAAAAATTAAGTTTTTTAAATTTATTTCATTCAAAATTCGGCATAGAAGTTAAATATAAAACTTACATACGTAAAAATTATGTTAGAAATTCTACAAAATTAGAGATAATAAAAATATAAAATTTTATCAAATAATAAATCAAAACACACAAGTACACACAAATGTTTCTGTAACTTTTGAATACTGAATAATGTAATTTTTTTAGACACATGAAATATATATTTACTTATTTCAATTAACGAGAAATAATTTATCCAATTAAACTGATCCCATCATTTCTTATTTTAAAAAATCCATTATAAAGATTTAAATTTTATAATTTCATTTCTAAATTTTAAATTAATACCAGTAAATATTTAAATTACTTAAATTTAAAATAAATTAATCAAAACTTCATAAAAAATTGGGGCATTACGATGGGAGTAGTTGTTACTCGGTGTGGGGCCGACTAGGCGACTAATGGTTTTTTTGAATGGCGACTAATGCGGAGTAAATTTTAGGAGCATAATACATATAGCCAATGAACAGATACTGTCTTGTAATAGAGTCAACAGCATTCAAAAAAAATGCATATACCCAAAATTTCTACCTCATTTATATACCAAAAGTATGCTTTAATATCAACACAAAATGTTGGTACATTCCTGCTGTATACAAGATGAGGTACAAATTTTTGGGATACACAAAACATTTTCCTAAATTTAAGAGTAAATTTTCAAAATGGTCCTTTGTAATAAGGTGTTTTCTCAATTCAGTCCTCAATAAATTTAAATTACCTACATGGTCCTCTATAGTTGAGATTTATTTCCTAAATAGCCCTTTGTAAATAATGTTACTCAAATAATGATTAATTGGAGAGTATTTTGGTATATATTCTCGAAATATCATTTCTGTATAATTAAATATAAAATTAAAAAAATACATTGACTATAAACAATTCGTGAATTATTAAAAACTTATAAAAAATCTTTTAAATTTCGAATCAAATAGACATCTTTAAATAGAAAAAATCATTTTGGGAAAGTACTTCATTATATATGATCATTTTAAGAACTTATTCTAAATTTAGCGGATAAAAAACCAAAAGACCCCTCAATTAAATGTTACGAAGGACTATTTTGAGAATAAATCTCAATTATAGAGGACCACGTAGGCAATTAAAACTTATTAAGGACTAAATTGGGAAAATACCTAATTACAAAGAACCATTTTGGGAATTTACTCTAAATTTAACGTCAGAATTTCTTTAAAAACACAGTAATTATCCGAACTACTCCGAAGTACTGT